ACGTTTTCCTTTTCTTCCTTTTTTCTTCCTTTTTCCTCTTGTCTGTTTGCCTTCCGCCGCTCCCTGCCTGCCGTGCAGCCGCGCTCCGAGTGTGTTATGCCGTCGAGCCCCAGCGGGGAGAAGCCGTCGGCCGCGGCGGTGAAGCGCGCGCGCAGTCGCTCCCCGCCCGCGACGCCGCCGGAGAAACGCGCCCGGCGCTCCACGCGCAGCCGGACACCGACGCCGCCCTCCCGCTCGCTGAAGTCGCCGCCGCGTCCCCGCCTCTTTCCGTCGGCGGCGGCGACGACGACGACGCGGAAGTGTTGGCGCACGCCCCGCTCTGCCGCGCCCTCGACGAGGCGTGCTGCGTCTTCAGCGGGCAGGTCGTGCCGGAGCCCACCGCCGTGGGTCTCTCCGTGCGTGTCTGCGACATCCTCCTTGACGAGCTCTGCCGCGCGGCCCTCTCCCCCGCGCTCTTCGTCGCCCTCGGCGACCGCGTCGCGCTGCACGCGCTGAGTCAAGGCAACTACGTGGAGAAGCGGGTGCTGGACTACTTCATCGCCCCCATCGCCGGAGGGCTGCTGGCCAGCCGCCGGCGCGAGCAGCGTCAGCGGCGCGGCGATGAGGACGACGACGAGGGCGCCGCGGCGGCCGACGCCGAGACGCGCGGCATGCTGCTGCAGCTAGCGGACTGCCGCAGGGCGTACTCCGTGGCGCGGCGCACGGTGCGTCCGGTGCGTGCGATGTTCACCGAGAGCGAGATGGTGCTGCGGCAGGCCGCGGACCCCGCCGCGTACAAGGAGCTGACCCGCGGAGAGCTGCGCCGCCGCATTGAGCACGAGGTCGCCGAGGTCGAGGAGACGCGGCACGCCGTCGCGGAGGAGCGGCGCCGGCTGCGCCTGCTGCGGCAGCAGGAGAAGAAGCAGCTGCTGCAGCGTCTCAAGAGGAGGCTGCGGCCCGCCGCCGGCGAGGGCGATGCGGAGGCGATGCGGAGGCGATGCGGCGGGAGCTCGACAAGGTGAAGAAGAGGAGGCAGAGGCTGCAGCCGCGCAGCACGAAGAGGAAGAAGCACTACACCCTGACGAGGGAGGACCTCTACGGTGAGGAGTAGCGGCGGGAGCGGCCACCAGCCTCCGCATGCGCATAGCTGCAAGGACGCACACTTGTGCGCCTCGACGGTTGAGCTTCTCTCCCTTTTCCTCTTTTTTCCCTCCCCCTCCCCCTCATTTAAAGGGGGAAAGCAAAATAACCAAAAAAAAATTCTTCTGCTCCCGCCGGGATGTGGGGAGGCGGTGACGGCAACGACGCCTGCGCGGCCTCTCGCCCCGCCTCCCACATACGTGCACATACATATACACACGCGCGCGCACATGTGGCTGCCTTCGGTGGTTTGCTGGTCTCGTTGGGGAGCCCCATGCGGTTGTTGTTGTTGTTTTCTTTTGCTCCAGTTGTTTGGATGCGCAATGACCTCCCCGCCGTCTCAGCCGCCCGTGCGACGCCGCCGTCCTCCGCTGCGCTGCGTTACCGCCCCCCTTTTTTTTTCTTCTCCCCCTCCCTTCCCCTCCCCTGCGCAGGAAGGACATCCTTTGCTGCAACGCACAACAACCAACAGCAGTCAGCGAATCAACAGCCAACAACCAACAACTAACAATCAACAACTAACAACCAACATTTAGCGGATCAACAGCCAGTCGAGGGGTCAACGGTCAGTCAATCAACCAATCAATCAACTACTAAATTGGGGGGTTTGCGTCAAATTTTGTTCAAGAAACACAGGGCGAAATAAAACAAAAAAAGAGAAACAAAAAAGAAGGAAACGGCAACAACAAAGAAATAGGAAGAAAAAGAGAAACAACAAGAGACAAAAAGAAGAAAACAACGGCAACAACAAAGAAATAGGAAGAAAAGAACAAAATAAAAAAAAAGGAAGAAAGAAATAAGTAGGTACGAATTACTTTAGGG